GAATTTTTATACAATAGCAATGAGCACATGGTTGCTGAAATTAAAACTGCTTTTGAAAATTTCAAGATCTAATATTTCATAGTTTTTACAACCTCATAATTAATATAGGTTTATATGAAACAAGTGACAGTAATAATACCATAGCAATTTATCCAGTGTTGCTGGGTAGCTAACTTTGGGTATTTACACATACAAGAGAATAAAAATTCTCTGCTTGTTTTTATAAGACTGTAACTTCTTAAAGGTTAGACACTCTACAGGTTTAGGGCTACATACATCATAGTTTAACTTTAGACTAAATTTGTCTTACTGCTTACCCAGAAACCAGCATGAATGTCAATAACTGGCTCTTAACATCTCTAGGTCTCTGTTTCACCAATACAATTAACTGAAATACTCTGTTGCTCTGCTTTTAGTTTTAAATTTGATTGTACCCGGGGCATAAATTTATTAAGTATACAAGGGTCAAATCAAGAAACCGTGTCAAATGTGGAGAGAGGGGTATTAACAGCAATAGTTCTTTTCATGTTATTTTGCAAGTTAGATCTTTCCCTTTCAAAAGTTACTAGCAGAAAAAACTAACTAGTACAAATGTGGTCTAATATAATTTACCCTTTGCCTCTCTGAAGCAAATATGAGTTATTTATTTTGAAAGTTACTGCCAAAATAATTAGAAAACTTAGTGTTCAACCATTCTGTTTCATAAACTATTCCAATTTCTGATTGTAATATGTCCTACTACATAAATTGTACCCATTTTGCTTTATTCTGTTTAAAGGAACAGTTCATTTCCATCTTCCATGTAATAATGTTTTTATTAGAACAATGTTTTTAATAGAACTTTTTAATAAAAGCTATATACTGTCAGACCTCTCCTAGGGGTGATAGTTACTTTTAACCGTATTTAACTATGAACGAGACACAGTAAGTTGTGTTCTTAGGAAATAGCCTAAATCATCTGTTACATGAGGTAAATGTTTTTAATTTTTACATACTTTACAACTTCTTTTCCTTTTTGCAACATCTAATATTCTGTGTTTCATGGTACTGTTATTTGGGTTGTATTTGTTTCTTTGTAACTATAACTGTTTCAGGCTAAATGTGATCATCACAGTATATATGACTAGTGCTAGGCTCAAAAAACAGACAAACTGAGTAAAATTTAATTTTGTGATTGTTAAATCAGGAATCTTTTAAAAAGGCTTTACTGGGATATAATTGATACATAATAAATATCATCTAAGTGTACAACTTGATGAGTTTTGACGTGTATGTACCTGTGAAACCACACAGTTAGAAAAAGGGTCTTATCCTTCATGCTTAAAACTCTCTTCATGCTGCTTTGTGATCTATCCTTCCCCAGCCTTTACCTCTTTTCCCCAGGCAGTTATTCCGTCAGCCCTCTCCCAAATTCTCTTGTGTTACCCCTTTTCAGTCAAACCTCCCCCACCTTAACCTCTGGCAATTACTGATTTGTTTTCCATCACTAAGGTTTTTGCCTTTTATATAGTATAATATAATGGAATCGTATAGTATGTAATATTTTAGTCTTGCTACTTTGATTTGGCATGTCATTTTTAAGATTTATCCTTATTATCTGTATCAATAGCTTGTTCCTTTTTATTGCCAATATGAATTCTATTGTATGGATGTACCACAGCTTGCTTGTCCTATTGAAGGACATTTGGATGGTTCCAGTTTTGATGATTATGAATAAAGTTACTATAAACTTTCTAGTATAGGTTTTCGTACGAATGTAAGTTTTCATTTCTCTTGGTTAAATACCTGGGAGTGGAACTGCTATTGAAGACTGTCATCATCATTTGTTTTTTCTTCTTTTGTTAATATGGAGAATAATGTTGATTTTTTTTTCTTTTTGGCCAGATATTAAACTAATCTTGGCAAATCCCCACATGGTCATAATTATTTTCCTTTCACAAATGATTAGATTCTAAATTACCAAAATTTTATTAAAGATTTTTGATCCTATGTTTATTCATTAGTCTTTGATTCTCTTTTCCTGTGTTCTGTTTGATTTTTTTATTATGGCTATATTGGCCTCATAAGATGAATTTTAAAGTGTTTCTTCCGACCTTCTCTGTAAGCATTTTTGCAGATTTGGAATTGTTTTTTCTTTATATGTTTAGTGTTCACCAGCAGAGCTATCTTAGCTTGTAGCTTTCTTTGTGGCCTATAGTTTATGAGTTTAATTTCTTTAGTTAATACTAAGCTATTCAAGTTTTCTACTTAGGAATTTTATTGTTTTACCTAAGTTTATCACATATGTTGAACATGTATCTAATATTCTGTGTTTCATGGTACTGTTATTTGGGTTGTATTTGTTTCTTTGTAACTATAACTGTTTCAGGCTAAATGTGATCATCACAGTATATATGACTAGTGCTAGGCTCAAAAAACAGACAAACTGAGTAAAATTTAATTTTGTGATTGTTAAATCAGGAATCTTTTAAAAAGGCTTTACTGGGATATAATTGATACATAATAAATATCATCTAAGTGTACAACTTGATGAGTTTTGACGTGTATGTACCTGTGAAACCACACAGTTAGAAAAAGGGTCTTATCCTTCATGCTTAAAACTCTCTTCATGCTGCTTTGTGATCTATCCTTCCCCAGCCTTTACCTCTTTTCCCCAGGCAGTTATTCCGTCAGCCCTCTCCCAAATTCTCTTGTGTTACCCCTTTTCAGTCAAACCTCCCCCACCTTAACCTCTGGCAATTACTGATTTGTTTTCCATCACTAAGGTTTTTGCCTTTTATATAGTATAATATAATGGAATCGTATAGTATGTAATATTTTAGTCTTGCTACTTTGATTTGGCATGTCATTTTTAAGATTTATCCTTATTATCTGTATCAATAGCTTGTTCCTTTTTATTGCCAATATGAATTCTATTGTATGGATGTACCACAGCTTGCTTGTCCTATTGAAGGACATTTGGATGGTTCCAGTTTTGATGATTATGAATAAAGTTACTATAAACTTTCTAGTATAGGTTTTCGTACGAATGTAAGTTTTCATTTCTCTTGGTTAAATACCTGGGAGTGGAACTGCTATTGAAGACTGTCATCATCATTTGTTTTTTCTTCTTTTGTTAATATGGAGAATAATGTTGATTTTTTTTTCTTTTTGGCCAGATATTAAACTAATCTTGGCAAATCCCCACATGGTCATAATTATTTTCCTTTCACAAATGATTAGATTCTAAATTACCAAAATTTTATTAAAGATTTTTGATCCTATGTTTATTCATTAGTCTTTGATTCTCTTTTCCTGTGTTCTGTTTGATTTTTTTATTATGGCTATATTGGCCTCATAAGATGAATTTTAAAGTGTTTCTTCCGACCTTCTCTGTAAGCATTTTTGCAGATTTGGAATTGTTTTTTCTTTATATGTTTAGTGTTCACCAGCAGAGCTATCTTAGCTTGTAGCTTTCTTTGTGGCCTATAGTTTATGAGTTTAATTTCTTTAGTTAATACTAAGCTATTCAAGTTTTCTACTTAGGAATTTTATTGTTTTACCTAAGTTTATCACATATGTTGAACATGTTCATAGTATTTCCTTATTGTCCCTTATAAATCTGAACAACAGAGAAAATAGACTGAAATAGACTGAAAAAATGAGTTACTGCTTAGCAACCTGAGAGACTATAACAAAAGACCTGACATTTGTGTCAGTCCCAGAAAGAGAGGGGCAAGAGGGCAGGTTTGAAAAAGTACACCAAGAAACAGTGGCTGAACACTTCCCCAAATTTCATAAAAAACCTGAACCTGCAAATGAAAGAGAGTGAACCCCATACAGGCTAAACCCCAAGTATTCCATGAGAAGATCCATCATAGTCAAACTTCTGAAAGCTTAAGACAAAGTCTTAAAAGCAGCAAGAGAACTTTGCATATATGGAAAACATCTATTTGAGTGATAGCGGATTTCTCATTAAAAACCATAGAGACCACATGGAAGTAGCTCACTTTTCAAGTACTGAAATAGACCAGTTAACCTATGATCCTATGTCTGACAAAAGTATCTTACAGCCATAGAGGGAAAATCAAAACATTTTCAGATGAAGGGAAAGTCTAATATTAGAGAGTTTGTTGGTAAGAAGACTTGCTCTAAAATAAATGGCTAAAAGAAGTTCTTCTAATAGAAAACAATAATAGAAGAAACTTTGGAGCATAGGACGAAAAACAAAATAAACTGATATATAGGTAAATGCAATAGGCTTTTCTTGAGTTAAGTATTTATGAAGCAAGCAAAAGTTAGGATAATGTCTGAGGTGATTCTAAAATACATAGAGAAAATATTTAAGACAACTATATTAAAAATGAGGAAGGGTAAAGGGTGAAAGGGAGGTAAGATTTATATACTTACCAAACTAGTAAAATAATGACCAGTAGACTATGTTGTTGAATATCTGTGACAAAATAATACCAGGAGCAACTACTAAAAAGGCTGTACAGATTGCTACACTAAGAAGTAGTATACATAGATGAAAATGGAATCCTAAAAAATGTAAGTAACCCACATGAGGCAGGAAAAAGAAGGTAGATAAACAAAAAAATGAAATGACAGATTTAAGCCTTAAGTAAAATATGAATAAATATATTAAGTGTAAATGGTCTAAATAAACCTATTGAAGGACAGATACTGGCAGAGTAGACAAAAAACAGGAGCAAACTATATGTTATCTACAGTAAGGTCAATTAAAACATAACCATATATGCAGGTTGAAAAATTTTTAAAAGATGAAAATTTTATGTCTTGCAAATAATAATAATCAAATGAAAGCAGGAGCACGTACATTAAAAAATCAGATAAAGAATGTTTCAAAATAAAGACTATTACCAGAGATAGAGAAGGACTGAAGGATCAGTCCACCAAGAATACATAATCTTAAATGCATGCATCAAACATCAGAGCTGCACCAAACATAGGAACTGCAAAATATGGTTGAACTCCCTCAACAGTTGATGACAAAATGACAGAAATCAGTAAGGATTTTGAAAACTCAACAGCACCATCAACTTCCAGGATCTAGTTGATATTTATAGGACTCTACCCACAATAGCACAATACACCTTATTTCCAAGTGCTTCTGTCCACCACGATATCCATTAACAGGCTGAAAAAGAAAGACCTTGTAATCAGTCAGTGCAGAAAAGGTATTTGATAATAGTCAATACCTATTCATGATTTTTAAAAAATAATAGAAATAAAGAACTTCAGCACGTTAAAGAGCACCAACCGACAACCTATAGTTAACAGGAGGAAGGCAGAAATGTTTGTTCACACCACTTTTACTCAATATAGTATTGGAAGTTCTAGCAAGTGCAGTGTAGCAAGAAAAGACGATGACAGATACTCAGATTGTAAAGGAGGAATGTCATGCAAATAACATGACACTCTACTTATAAAACCCTGAGGAGTCTACAAGAAAATTCCTAGAACTAATGAATGAGTTCAGCAAGATGACAAAACACAAGATAAACGTGCAAAAACCAGCTGAATTTTTATACAATAGCAATGAGCACATGGTTGCTGAAATTAAAACTGCAGTGCCATTCATAGTTGCCCCCCTACCAAACAAAAAAAAAATACTTCTGTGTAAATATAACAAAACATACAAATTTTAATACAAATCCTGAACAACCAACCACTTGTATTCCGGGCAACTGCTACTTCTGTCTCTCTAGACTTATTCTGAACATTTCATGTAAGTGGAATCATACAGTGTGAGGTCTTTTGAAACTGGCTTTCACTTGAGCATAATAATTTTAAGGTTCATCCATGTCCTAGCATGTATCAGCAGTTGACTCCTTTGTGTTTTCTGGTGATGTGCCATTGTATGGGTATACCGCATTTTACCCAACAGTTGATGGCCATTTAGGTACTGCTGCTATTCATATCTGTGTACAAGTCTTTAGGTAGATAACATGTTTTCATTTTTCATGTATAGATACCTAGGGGTGGAACTGCTGGGCTACATGCTTATGCTCTATTTTAAGGGCCTTTAAACTATTTGCCAGGCTGACTGCATCATTTTGCATTCTCACCCACAATGTTTGAGTATCCCGATTTCTCCACATTCTTACCAGCCAGCACTTGTATGCCTTTCCTATTTTAAACATCCTCTGAGTGTGAAATGATACCTCACTGTGGTTTCGATTTGCATTTTCCTCATGTCTGATCCTATTGAGCAAATTTTCATGTTTTTACTGGTCATTTGTTATCTTCCTTGGAGAAATGTCGGTTTAAATCTTTGCCCCTTTTCACTTGTGTTACATGTCTTTATTGTTGAATTTTCAGAGTTTTTTATGTGTTCTGTATATATGTTTGATGTTTTTGATGCTATAGTAACTGGTAGTTTTTAATTCATTCTCCAATTATTCCTAGTATGTAGAAATATTCCAGATTTTTTTATATTGGCCTTGTATTCACTGACCTTTCTAAACTTGTTTACTAATTTAAAAGTTTTTCCTTTGGAATTTCTTTGTACACAATCTTCTTTTTTTCAAATAACAGTTTTCTCTTCCTTTTAAATCTTTATGCTTTTTATTTCCTTCTTAAATTTTATTTGAACTAGCTAGGACCTACAGTAGAATGTTGAATAGAAGCAATGGGACTAAACATCCTTGCCATGTACTTGATCTTAAATAAAAAGCAGTATTTAATCTGAAAAGTAGTGATTAGCTGCTATTTGTGTTTTAATTGTTCTTGTTCCAGTTTTTTTCTGTTTCCTCCTTAAGGGAATTAGCCAAGTAGTTTTTAATGTTCCCTGTTCTTAATCTCCTCTACTAGTTTTTTAGGTACAACTTATTTTCCACCAGTGGTTGCTCTGTATTATAATATGCATCTTTACCTTCTCGTCTATTCCTGTTTATGTTTAAAGTGATATTGTGGTAGATTATTCAAAGTTATATTTTGTGGTCAAAATTGTGAAGTTATACTTCCAGAAATGATGACTAAATAAATCAGTATTAAATTTCTTGGCATCCTTTCCTCCTCTACCCCAACTCACCTTTTTTTGAAACCACTTTTCCTCTGTCAGGTGACCTCTGTAAATATCCAACACCTGCAGTTTTAAGATGCTCAGGCTAATGGGGCTTCCTACAAAACTACTTTGTTTACCAAAGTAAAGTTGGAAACACCATATATATATATATATATACCAAGAGAGAGAGAGAGAGAGACTTCATTTAAGAAATTGAAAATAATAATGTGACTTCTTAATTTTGGGAAACTCCTCCCACCTACTCAGACATGTAGATGTGAACTCTTTACACTTAACTTCTTCAAGCAGCATAATCCAGTCTGCTTGTTGAGTTGTCCCTTAGTTTTATTCCTGTGCTGGTAATTTTTTTAAAGCAATCTTCATAAGTTATTTTGGCTTTATTCAAACAGGATGAATTAAACGTTGCTGATTCTGAAGTGGATAACCAAAAACGAGGGAAGCAGCATTATGAAGAAAAACAGAAAGAACACTTGGATACTTTAAATAAAAAGAAACGTGAACTGGATATGAAAGAAAAGGAACTAGAGGTTAGCTGGCATTTTTTCTTTTGTGTTGTGTGTACATTAGTCATGATCATTAAAATATGTGTTCCATAATGTCATGTGTCTAAGCATAGGCAAATGGATGAATATCCGTACAGAGTAACAGCTGTTGTGATAAATCAACATGAAGAGTAGGCTTAGGGGCGCTAAAAGTGTGGGGACCTAAATAGACCAAATGCAGAGGACTTAGGCAGGAGTGCAGAGGTGGAGTATCTTGCCTCTTGAGTAATTTGGAAAATGGCACTCCCATCTTAGCTAACAGAGCTCCTTAAACAACACCCAGCTTGGCAAGTGGAAAAAAGCTTTGTCAGAAAAAAGCACCCTGTCCTCTGAGTAGCTTGGGTATGGTCTTAGCTGGAATTCAGGGACTTACTAGACACTCCTGTTGACAGCTGTAGGCAGCAGCCCTTTTTTAGAGGAGAATAACTTGAAGGCAGCATTAGTCTAACTAGAAGAGATGGATTCCAGCTTTTCTTGTAAAAATGATTTAAACACTGTAATCAATCTCCTTACCTGTTTACTTACTATATGGAATGTTGTCAATATAAGTGCTATGCATAAAAGTGCTTTGTGTTTTTTAATATTTTCTTTGTTTTCAACACTATCTGGTGTTAAGAGTCCATCCTAGAACACACAGAAAGCTTCCTGAGTTCAGTGCCCTTGGTGCCGAACTTTTTATAACTGCTATTTGAAATTTGTTTCTGTAGGAAGTTATGGAGATCTTACAAAATTGAAGTTGGGCACAGTAATGCAATTTTCTCTTAAAGATTTTCTTAATATAAAGCTTAGAGAAATTACATTGATACTAAATGTAATTAAAATACATTTCTTAAACACAAGTTTAGAATTTTACTTTGCATATTTTGGCACAAGTAGTACAGTGAATTTTATATGAAAAATACTTAAAGATATTAAATATTTCTTATCTTAGGAGAAAATGTCACAAGCCAGACAAATCTGCCCAGAGCGGATAGAAGTACAAAAATCTGCATCAATTCTAGACAAAGAGATTAATAGATTGAGACAAAAGATACAGGCAGAACGTGCTAGTCATGGAGATCGAGAGGAAATAATGAGGTAAGTGGTTGGTAGCTTTTCTACTTCACTATCTATATATATTACCAAGATATAAAAAAAGTTTATTTTTTTTATTTGGCTAAAATGTTGCTGTGGCATAGTTACAGCTAAGCTGGTCTTTCATCTGTGTGTTATTAATTATAAAGTTTCTTATTAATTATTTCAAAATTCATCATGGATTGACACTTTAACATAAATGCCTCTTCTATACCTATAAGATTACCATAGACGTGAGAATGTTCAGTTTTACAAGTAGAGAAACACAAATCAAAATGATTAGGAGCTATTTTCACATATATCAAGCTGGAAAATATACACTTAATGTCAGTGAGATTTCAGTGAAATGGATACTTTTATATTACTTGTAAAAATGGTAACTCTAGTGTAGTTAGAGCACAGATTCTGAAGAAAGAGTACTTCTTTTTGAATTGCAATTCTGCCACCTACTTATTTGACCAAATTACCTGATCTTGGTGAATCTTAACTTTCTCATCTATAAACTGTTCATAATTATAGTGCAGATAGGGTTGTGAAGATTTCATGAGATATAATCCATGATGAACAGAATATGTAGGGTACATAATATATTAGGTGTTATTATTATTAAAGTCGTTCTGTTGATGAGCTAATCTATGAAGAACAGAATATATATGGTACATAATATGTCGGGTATTATTAAAGTCTTTCTGAAAGGCATTAGGACAGTTAATATCAAGCACCTTCAAAAATCACAGTTTAGCCAAGTAATTTTGCTTGTACAACATAATCCAAAATGAGAAAACAATTTGTACTCAGATGTGTTTGTTGCAGCATTATTTATAATGCTGAAAAATTAGAAACTGTGTACAGCTGTAGGATACTCATTAAATTACAGTAGAAAATTACAGCCATTACTTTATGAAGAGCTTTTCATATCAAGAAAGGTTGGGAACAGGAGTGATCTCAATGCAATTTTTTTTTAATTGGAAAACAATGGGAAGAAGCAAAATAGTAAGAGAAGATTTTCTTTAAGATAGCTTGTACCTCACATGTTTTCCAAATATGGGCATATAGTATGTCTTCTGTATTCTCATCACCATCACTTTTATTTCCTTTTATCTTACGAGTTTATTAACTATGCTTTCAGTGTTTCTATATGCAAATGCAGGGTAACTTAAATATATGTAATTTTTCATCCTTGTGGATAAAAAAGTACACTAAGTAAACTTTTTTATGAATTCCTGTGATTTAATGATATATTTTAAAGATTTTTTTTCTGTGTTAGTATATAGGCATCTTCTCATTTTTTCATTATTTTATAATACTTAACTATCTTGTACTGATGGATAATTTGAGTTTTAATTTAATCTTTTGATATTATAAAGGGTGGTACATAATAAACAATTTTGTCCATGTGTCATTTTATATATATATATATTCAGTGTTTTTTAAACAAATTCCCATATTCCCATTTTGGAAGATTGCCCTTTGTAGAGATTGCACTTTTTTGCACCCCCATCAGCAGTGTACTGGAGCGCTTATTTCCCCACAGCCCAAACAAGGTGTGATAATCATAGATTCTTTTTACTGGTGGATAGATTTCCTAAAAAAAAAAAATACCTCAGTGTAATCTTCACTTGCATTTCACTTACATTGAGTATAGTTGACTATCTTTTCATGTCTTAAGGACCATTTATTTATTTCCTTTTCTGTGAATTTTTTATGAACTTTTTCCTTTTCCTGTGATATTTTTGATGTGAGAAATGTATCCACTTGAAAAGTTGTTTGTCCTATAATTGCTTCTTAATAAAGAGTGACTGTGTGAGTGATGTTTTGTGTGTTTTTGCCTGTTGAAAACTATTTGTCTGTAGCTTTTGAATGTGAAGAAGAGTTTAACCTAATACAAAACCCCTTTTCTCCTGAGTATCTGTTTATGATACCTGTCTGTGAAGTCCTATAGCTTATCCATAATATCAAAGTCTTTGAGTCTTTCTCTAGTATACACTGTGCTCTTTTCATCTGTGTATTTGTCTTATTTCTTAAAAATTGTCCTGTATTTTACTTTTAGATGTTTTCTTTGAGGTGTCAGTTATACATATGTTGTATATCCTTTTTCTTTTCTAGTTACTATGTCTAACATTTTATTTAAATATTTTTTTCCTTATTTTGTTTGCTTTTCTCATTTCTGATCTCTTTATCTGTCAGTGTTTTTTGTGTTTGCCCCTATGCATGATCTTCTCATTTTGTCTTCATATCTCTGTTCTTTTTTTTCTGACTCCCCCACCTCCCTTACCTTGGGTTCTGTGAGTTCTCGCTTCACTTCCTTTTGTCTGGTTATCACCTTCTGTGTTTTTACCCATCGATTCTTTGAGTTCTTTGGTTTATGTCTTCTTTCAGTTCTTTGATTACTTTTTCAAAATTTTCTTTCCTGACAGCACTTGTCTCCTGTTGTTTTAATTCATGGTGTTCAATTATAGTTCTTGTCTGCTTTGTGACAATATTATTCTAATGAATTTTCTTTGAGGTTTTTTCTTTGAGCTGCTTTTTCTCAACCCTTCTTTTCCATAAATATCTCATGTGAATGCTGTGCTTTTTCCTTTTCTGTTATTCCTTTTTTAATTAGTTAGATTTTCCTGGACTGAGCATTAGAAGGAGGATGCAGCAGGTAGCAGTGGAAGGCTCGGCCAGACCTGCCTTTCATACTTTTCCAGGAACCTCCTCTCCCCTGCTTCTCTGAGTAGCCGTGACTTCTCTGCCTGTGTGATCTTGTCTCTGGCTGTGGTAGGGGGATCCTTGTGCTCACTCTGTGTTCTTCTATTCCTGCACTGGCATCTGTCACTGAGGGAAACATTTCTTGCTTTCCAGTGTGATCCCTGTGCTTTTAAAAGGTGAGTATTTGCTGGCATTCTCTAAGATCTGCTTTCTCCAGGGCTTGGACTTGGCCTCCAGCCAGCCCGGCTAACAGCGCTTCCCGCCAGGACAGCGCATTCTTACTCCAGGCGTGTGTCTTGTCTGGAGGCGGGAGATCTGCTAGTGCTGGACCCCTCAGCACTCCCTGTTCTTCCCCACTAAATAGGTTTGAGATTTTACTTTTTATGTTACTTTGAATGGTATTTATTTACTTAATATTTTGTTTATAAAACAGGCAGTACCAAGAAGCAAGAGAAACCTATCTTGATCTGGATAATAAAGTAAAGACTTTAAGGAGGTTTATTAAATTACTGGAAGAAATAATGACCCATCGATATAAAACATATCAACAATTTAGAAGGTAAGTGTATTTAAAAATACTAACACATGTTATTCATTTTTGTGTTTGTTTTTACATTATCCCTCACAAATAATAAAATTAAATTATAATTTATATGATTCAATTCTGGACCTTAATATAGCAAGCTTATCCAACTTTCCTACTCCGTTAGATAGATAACCTGTCCTAGATGAATCAGGTGGCTGTTGAGTCTCTGTTCCCATAGGTCCTTTGAATGGAAATTCACTGGTTCTGAAACACCTGTTTCACTCTTGGACATTGCATGTTCTTAAGGGATATAAGCTTCTAATAGGACCTATTGAGGCAGAATCTCAGTTGATTTACCATGATCTGACAGAATGGTGTAGCTCCATGGATGCAGAATCTCTGTTTGTTACTGCTATGGCTCCAGTAGTACCTACTAATATGCCTGCAATATGTGGAAGCTTGATATATATATATTGATTGAATGAATGAATTAACACAGGTCAGGGAAACAGGGTGTTCTTTAAGGTACCTAGAAAGATGCAGACTATAGGGATAGACTGACTGCAACCAAAATCACAAGCAGTAGAAATAAACCAGAAGACAGTTTGTAGGTAAGGATGACCCTTTATATACTTGGATCCAAAGCAGCCCTAGTCTTTCCACTTAACCTCACTTTTCCCCAGTGGCATTCGCTCGGTACCCTGCTTTCTACCTGTCTTTATACCTCAAGCTCTATAATCTTAAGACTACAGAAAAGAAACAATCTATCTAGCTCTAGTACATGTGGGGAAATTCAGATAAAGACATAAAGAGTAACAGGCTTTGCATGTTGACCATATTCCTTAAGTGAATTATAGGTTAGTTTTTGAAATGTTTCAGTTTTATAAACATGTTATTAGGACTTCAGTTATATAGGATTTATTTTTATTCTCTTGAGGTTGCTTTTAACTCTTGTTCAGTGGGGCCAGGGGAGCCTTTCGTCAGGGCCGTTTGCTGCTGTGAAGCGGTGCTCTTCTGAGTGCTCCCCTGACGTCTTGTGAGTGACAAGGTTTTCCAGTCCTGCCAGTGGGAACGTGAACATTTCCAGTCTCAGGGTGACCTTTGGGGATTGCCTTGGCGTCTTTCAGGTGTTTCTTTCCGCAGCCTCAGGCAGTGTCCTCACGCAAGCACTGACAGCACTCAGCTTGAGCCTGTCCCCCGGCGCCCTCTGCGGGTCCTCTGCCGTTAGTTGTCTCTGCTGCACTCTCTCCTCTTGGCCCTGCTTTGTGAACCGGAGGTGCCTTGGCCTCCCCACACTCCTAACTGTCTCCTCAAGCAGGGAGACCTCCAGACCCTGCTTGGGTCGCTTCTCTCCTTTACTCTTCCCATAAGTAGTATCTTGGGGGCATCTGCAGGGCTCAGTTTTTTTGTTTCCCATCTTCCAGAGATCATTTGGACCAGAACTGCCTGTGCTGGTTAGATGTTCACTCTGAAAACTCTTGTTTCACATATTTTTTCCAGCTTTTAAGTTGTTTCATGCTGAAGAGTAAATCCACTGCCTAATAATACATATTCCCAGAAGCGATAGGATTTGTTTTTACATTGTTATCCAGAAAATTTGTATTTAAAATGTTTTCTATAAAAGTATTGGTCTTAATAGCTTATTACCCTGATAATGTTTCTTCCCCATTGACATGTTTGATATTCTTTCCCCAATCTTAGCAGCAGAATAAGAATGATCCAATTTTTAAAATTGCTTATCTTTTTATACTGGAAAACCTTGCCATTTTATGAGGACAGTCTCTCTTAGACATCCTCTGAATGGGAGCAATTGAAGAATGCATATCAATAAAGTTAACAGAAAATTCTGGAAACTAACTAACAGTGGTTGTGCACAAAACCACTATCACAAAAGAAAACTTAGACGGTCATTATTTTCTATTATGGAAATTTGATGTAGTTTAGGAGGGAAAAGAATAAAATAATGACAGTGACTGAAGAAACGAGCTGTAGGCTCATTAAGAAGTAAAGATGTTAAGAAAAATAGCCAGTCACCTATCACCCAGATATTATTTTTTAAATACCATTCCCCACCAGAAGGAATCATGGCTCCTTGAGAAAGGCTGATTCCAGAGCTGGGCAGGGAAGATACAGATGAGCCATTTGCTATACCAGAAAGTAAGGAACTGCTCAAAAAGACTGTAGAGTCATGATAGAAAGACATAGAAGGCAGCTTGAAGGAGCTTCCATTGCTGAACTCTGGACAATTTGAGGACCAAAATAAATAAGGCCAGTAATGGATCATAACCCAAAAAATAAATTAAGAATCTATAACTTCATCCTGATAAATAGAAAGGTGGGTACATAAACAAATAATTGAGGAAGAAGATAAAGGTCTTCCTGAGAGTAGAATGCCATCTGAAAGTTAGAGAAGGAATGGTGAGTTTGCATTGTGCCAGACAGTGTGTAGTTAATTAAGTGGTTGCTCTTACCCTTTGTGTTACAATGAAGTTGAGAGGAGATGGGCATATGAACAAGCCATTTATCCATTATTTTAACACTAGTAGAGATTAATCCTCTCAAGGACAAGATTATCTAAATTGCTTGACTCATTGGTATATTCATATGGGCTGTCTGTAATACAATAGGGTATAAAATGTGGGATGACATCTTTATTAATTTTATAGATGTTTGACTGTCATAAAAGAAAATGAAATGATAAAAAATGGGGAGAGGAATGAAATGTAAAGACATGGAGAAACATTCTAAAATGCCACCTTTAAATTGGCAACCAGTGTTAACCTTTTGGGATATTTCTGTCTGGTATTACATGCTGGTTTAAAGATCCTGCTGAATGTATAGTTATATATCTTTATGTTCTTTTTAACGTGCCAATCTCTTTATTTCAAGATGTTTGACTTTACGATGCAAATTGTACTTTGACAACTTACTATCTCAGCGAACCTATTGTGGAAAAATGAATTTTGACCACAAGAATGAGACTCTTAGTATATCAGTAAGTATCTTAACCCTTTGCATGTTAATCATTAGAATTAGGTGCTACATTTCTTTTGATGATACATTGATAAGCTTTAACCCATTGTCTATGGAAAACAATTTGACCAGGGGTAGAATTTAGATCTCTACAATTTCTCTAGGGCTTCATTTATTAGATTGAACAAAATGCAGTTTTGGAGCTAAAGATTGCATCCTGCCACCTAGTTCTTGCTTTTTTGTGTGGTTGGTTGGATTGGTTTGGCTTTTTACTCTTTAGGTTAATGTTGCTTTTTCAGTTAGATTTTAATAGAGGAGTCAGACTCACAGATGATGAATTTCAATATATGTTTAAACTCAGGATTTTTTATAACCCTTGAAAGGTTAAAAAATAATGCTCACTTGGGAACTACATAACTTTTCAAGTAGTGGGTTAGAAATATGTGAAGCTATGTGTCTGCTAAAATACATATGATAAAACTTTATGATATAAAATTGGTTGGTGCAATTTTTTCACCTTATGGGCGTATGTGTATGTCTGGAATTCTGTCAGAATGAAATAGAATTCCTTCTAATGTTATTTTATGCTGTCTTCTCAGGAAATTGAAAGAGTTTATAATTAATTTCACCTAATCTTTTTTATTGTTCCCAAGACCCCTTAATGTAGTAGAGGAATTATTTAAGAAGGTTTTACATGTTTTAGTTCATTGCTGCTGTTAGTCTTTGGCCAGCGTGAGCCTGTTGTCCTTTGACATTCAGTAAATACTTTTAAAGCAGTTTACCCACTAGATGTCACTGTAATTCAAATAACGAAAGATTATCTTGGCACTTAGAAATGTTTGAAAAAAGAAATAAATAAAACAATCCCATTCACAATAGCATCAAAAAAAAAACCAAAAAAAACTTAGGAATAAATTTAACCAAGGAGGTAAAGAACCATACACTGAAAACTATTATAAGACATTAATGAAAGAAATTAAGAAAGATACAAATAAATGGAAAGATACCCTGTGTTCATGGATCTGAAGATTTAATGTTGTTAATAGATGTTATTTCCATGTCACTCAGTGATTTCATTTATTTATTTTACTATAAACCCTTTCTTTCTAATGTTAGCCAACTTTTATTCTATAGTTTAATCTGGCTTTTTCTATACTTTGTTTTTTGTTAACTCTTTCAAGGTTCAGCCTGGAGAGGGAAACAAAGCTGCTTTCAGTGACATGAGAGCCTTATCTGGAGGGGAACGTTCCTTTTCTACGGTTTGCTTCATTCTTTCTCTCTGGTCCATTGCAGAATCTCCTTTCAGATGCCTGGATGAGTTTGATGTGTACATGGTACTGTTAAATTTTAAATTCTCTACTTTTAGTTTCTGGAAATGAGTACCTTGAAAGTAAGCAGTTTTTTGTTTAGTTTTACCTATAATGGAAAAGACCCTACCCTGACCCTGCAGGCCGCAGTCAGTGGGAGAAGGACCAAAGAGTTGTCCAGGGTGGCGTCCTCTTCTCACCCATCATGGACATCCCTGCTCTCCACCAGCAGACTCTCCACTAGCCTCCTCCCATGTCCTGTTTCAACACAAAATTATAACCAGTCCACACCTGCACTTTGACTAAGTCCACGGCTGGTTCTGGTTCTCGCGCTTCCTTCACAGCCACACTTTTCAGAAGAGTGGTAGATAGAACAGGAGGAACAGGCACATCTGCCTTTGAAGTTTCAGAAAGGATCGAGGGCTACCTCTGCCGCTAGCTACCCAGATGACGTCAGGCAGAGTATTTCTCCTCCGGGTCCTCAGTTTCTTCGTGCGTGCAACGAGGTTACTGGTCTGTCCTGCCTCACAGGGCTGTAGTGAAGCACCAGGGAGGCCTTGTGTGTCATGTACTGACTGTGCTGCGACACGAAGGGAGTCCCCACAGCCCAGCTATTAACCATCCTCCTGACCCCTGCATGCCTCATTCCCTAAACCCGCTGTAATCTGGGGTTAGACTTCAATGCTCCAGCCAAACTTATCTAGCAAAGATCATAATGAACTTTTAGTCTTCAATTCTTTGAGGTTTTTGGCATCATAGGCATATCCTCCATCTCTAAGGTGTGCCTTCCTGCCAGCTTCCGCAGACCTCTGTTCTAGTTCACCCATCAGTCTGCCAAACTGCCTCGCCTGATGCTGCTGCCCTTAAGTGTTTAAGGTCTTTGTTTTATACTGTTGTCGGTTTTTCTGGATACCATACCCTACCTATCCCCACATATATATGCGCATAGTCCCCAAAACCACTGCCTACATTTGGAGACAAAATGTAAGTATGTCATTGTGACAACCTCTCTTGCACTCTAGACCCATATGTCTAACTCCTTATTAGACATCAGCTAGTAGATGACCCCATCTCAAACTCAGCATGTCTGAGACTGACTTTGTCTTCCACTCAAAGCCTCTTCTATTTCCTGATTTCCCTACCTGGATGGCTGGCGAATTGCCATTACCAATTTGCTCATGTAACTGCAAGACCTTTGATATAACTTTTTACTCTCTCATTGTTTGACCCCTGACTGTTCCTCTTTCAAAATATCTCCCTCGCCTCTGCCCTGTTCTCCTTCCTGCTATCGCTTACCCCTTGCCTATTGCAATCACCTGCTGTCCAGACTCGCCAGATTTTAGTCCTGCTCCTTTCTCAGTCGCTCCTTCACTGCTTTGCCAGGTTTATTTTTGTAAAATAAATCTGACTGTGGCCCCTCACTCGTTTACAACTCTTCGGTAGACTCTTCCGTAGTTAATTATCCTATTTGGGATAAAGTTCTGTATGGCAGCTTTGAGGCCCTTCATGATGTAGCATCTGCCCACTTTTCAGCTACACTAAGCCATTTATGACTTTACAAACTCTGCCTCTGCCTGGTGTGCCCCCCTCTGCTGTGTGTCACACTCCTATTCAGCTTTCAAGACTTGGTTCACATGCCACCTTTATGTACCCTTCATGACCACCATCCATCCAGGCAAGATTACGACCTTCGCAGAGTCTGGGACCACCTTACATCAGCTCAGATGATTATATTTTTATATTTTATATTGTAAAATATATTATTATATAATATTTTTTTATTATATGCATCTTACTATTACATACTTTTTTTCATTTTGCTGTAATCACCTGTTTTCATGTCTGAATCTACTACCGATTACAACCTTTTTGAAGTTAGTGACTATATCTTAATCATCTTTACACCTCCTAATGCCTAGCCCACAGTAAGCATTTAGCAAATGTTTATTCATGAATCAGAATTTATTTATATTTATGAGTGCTGTATAATCCTTCAGTGCCATTTTTTCCCCTATATGTTACCATTGCTGAAGATCAGTTAGAAATCTGAGAATTGGCTTCACAGCTATAACTCAGAAAAATCAAAGAAGGTGATTTTTCTTTCCATGTAATATTTTTGTCCCAAATGCCATTATGCAGCCTTATCACCCATCTTACTTGTCACATTTAATTCTCTACAACAACTTTCTTTTTCAGAAACTCAGGTTCTTAATCAGAGTGGCAATTTGCCCCTTTGAAATTCCTCAGAAAAATGTACCCAAGTTCTGAGAACCAATCCAAAGAAACATTGGCAGCTTTGTTATTAAGTTATAGGCCTCCCCAGCACAGTGTTTTTCAAAGACATGAGTCCATTTGTGTAAGCTCTGATTATTTTTGTTAACTTTAGGTTATGGTTATATTACAGATATGCCTGATGGTTGAATTTATATAATACAAGCCATTAAGCAGTATAGATAGGATGCGGGTACCTTGTCTGCCTCCAAAGCCTGTGTGCTAAAACATCGTGCTGTACTTAGTATTGCTGCTAGTTTCAGAGAGACCTTTAAAGATATGTAGTTTGACTTTTTTCCCATTATTTAACTTAGAAAATGTAAGCACGTGGTTTAATTTTGATTAGTCAAAACCTGTTAGAGCTAAGCATCATTTTTCTATACACTGATATGTTTTTTTACTTAATTTAGAGATTGAATCAAGAAATTGGTCTGTAAATTCAAGTTGCTTCACATTGTAAAAATTGTAGAAGGTGTTGGGACAGACGCAGGATTTTTAAAATACCTTAATCATTGAGGGAAAATTTGAGAGACTTCATAAGTTTGCAGCTAGTCACTTTTGATATTGTTCTCTGTGTGATTAACTATTACTGTACAAATTAAATTCATTCTGTAATAGTTGTCTTTTAAATATTTTCTGGTTATTCTAATTGCTAAATATATTTGAGGGAGGGAGCTATACTTACAAATAGTTTGACTATAAAAATCACCTGGAAGATACATATATTCAGTTATTTTGCCCCAAAGTTTTGGATGTTACCTTTCCCTGTATGAA